CATGGATTTTTTTAGGGGGCATTATAGCCACACAAAGGAGATGCCACCGGGAAAATCGAGGCATTATCATGTGCTTGTCAAATTGTGAACGAGAGACTGATGAAGTGTGTGCAGCCTGAAAAAAAGCAGAGCTCATGCCTTTCATCATTAGAATCGCATCATGCAGCTTTAGAATGTATTAAAAATCAAATAGCCCAACTTCTGTATCACAACTAAAGTTGCATAAAAAACTATAAATTAAGCATATAGGAGGACCTGTTTCTTTGTTAACCACTCAACACAGAATAGCCGCATCCTTTCTATTTCATTCAGCTATGTTCAATTGTATTCTTCATACTATAAAATAATGCCATGGAATCCTAAGCAAATCTTGTCTGCTAAATGAACTAGTTTAGCCCACAGCCATATAGCATAGCCAGATCAGGGCCTAACATAAGGACAACTCAGAGTATGCTATTCTGTTCTTCTGAAATAGACTACATTTTCTTCATATCATGTTTCTTTAGACCTGTCTAAAATAAATAATAGATTTACCGTGATGGTGTAGGCTATATTACATGGATTTATTGGACTTGTAGATGTTCCAAAGGTCTGTAACAGTGGCTTGTAGGCTACGCATGGAAGCCAGGAGATGCTAAATGTGTTTTTGTTCATTAACGGTCAATTACTGTGACCCGACAGTTATTGGCTTGAAAATCACCAGCTGACAAAATTGACCGCTACAGCCCAAGATGTGGGTGTCTTAGTCTGACCATCAAAACCTGTGTAAGAGGTAGAGAGTGATTGGGCGTTAAGAAGGGCTGGATTAATGCAGGGGTTTACCGGGGCTGAAGCCCCTGGGCCCAGGAGGCAGCATAAAGACTAAAGGAAATATATACAGTATATATTATATATACAGTATATATTATATATGTACTATATATACACTACCTGTCAAATGTTTTAGAACACCTACTCATTCAAGGGTTTTTCTTTATTTTTACTATTTTCTACATTGTAGAATAATAGTGAAGACATCACAACTATGAAATAACACATATGGAATCATGTAGTAACCAAAAAAGTGTTAAACAAATCAAAATATATTTGAGATTTGAGATTTTTCAAATAGCCACCCTTTGCCTTGATGTCAGCTTTACACACTCTTGGCATACTCTCAACCAGCTTCATGAGGTAGTCACCTGGAATACATTTAAATGAACAGGTGTGCCTTCTTAAAAGTTAATTTGTGTAATGTCTTTCCTTCTTAAATGCGTTTGAGCCAATCAGTTGTGTTGTGACAAGGTAGGGGTGGTATACAGAAGATAGCCCTATTTGGTAAAAGACCAAGTCCATATTATGGCAAGAACAGCTCAAATAAGCAAAGAGAAACAACAGTCCATCATCTTTAAGACATGAAGGTCAGTCAATACGGAACATTTACAGAACTTTGAAAGTTTCTTAAAGTCGCAGAAACAATCAAGTGCTATGATGAAACTGGCTCTCATGAGGACCGCCACAGGAATGGAAGACCCAGAGTTACGTCTGCTGCAGAGGATAAGTTCATTAGAGTTACCAGCCTCAGAAATTGCAGCCCAATTAAATGCTTCACAGAGTTCCAGTAACAGACACATCTCAACATTAACTGTTCAGAGGAGACTGTGTGAATCAGGCCTTCATGGTCCAATTGCTGCAAAGAAACCACTACTAAAGGACACCAATAATAAGAAGAGACTTGCTTGGGCCAAGAAACACGAGCAATGGACATTAAAACGGTGGAAATTTGTCCTTTGGTCTGGAGTCCAAATTGGAGATTTTTGGTTCAAACCGCCGTGTCTTTGTGAGACGCGGTGTGGGTGAACGGATGATCTCCGCATGTGTATTTCCCACCGTAAAGCATGGAGGAGGTGTTTTGGTGTGGGGGTGCTTTGCTGGTGACACAGTCTGTGATTGATTTAGAATTCAAGGCACACTTAACCAGCATGGCTACCACAGCATTCTGCAGCGATACGCCATCCCATCTGGTTTGGGCTTAGTGGGAAAATCATTTGTTTTTCAACAGGACAATGAAAAGCAATTTTTTTTGTCCATTAAAATAACATGAAATTGATCAGAAATACAGTGTAGACATTGTTAATGTTGTAAATGGCTATTGTAGCTGGAAACAGGTGATTTTTTTATGGAATATCTACATAGGCGTACAGAGGCCCATTATCAGCAATGTTCCAATGTCCAACGTTCCAATGGCACGTTGTGTTTGCTAATCCAAGTTTATCATTTTAAAAGGCTAATTGAACATTAGAAAACTATTTTGCAATTATGTTAGCACAGCTGAAAACTGTTGTGCTGATTAAAGAAGCAATAAAACTGGCCTTCTTGAGATTAGTTGAGTATCGGGAGCATCAGCAATTGTGGATTCGATTACAGGCTCAAAATGGCCAGAAACATAAAAAAAAAAAAAAAATTGGGGGGGCAGAAACAAATAACTTTCATCTGAAACTCGTCAGTCTATTCTTGTTCTGAGAAATGAAGGCTATTCCATGCAAATAATTGCCAAGAAACTAAAGATCTTGTACAACGCTGTGTACTACTCCCTTCACAGAACAGCGCACACTGGCTCTAACCAGAATAGAAAGAGGAGTGGGAGGCCCCGGTGCACAACTGAGCAAGAGGAAAAATACATTAGAGTGTCTAGTTTGAGAAACAGATGCCTCACAGGTCCTCAACTGGCAGCTTCATTAAATAGTACCCGCAAAACACCAGTCTCAACGTCAACAGTGAAGAGGCGACTTCGGGATGCTGACCTTCTAGGCAGAGTTGCAAAGAAAAAAACATATCTCAGACTGGCCAATAAAAAGAAAAGATTAAGATGGGCAGTCTGAGATATGGCTTTTTCTTTGCAACTCTGCCTAGAAGGTCAGCATAATTTCTTTACTGCAACCGTCAATCACACCCCTTTTTCGATCTTGTCTCATCGCTGCAACTCCCCAATGGGCTACGAAGGCGAAGGTCAGGTAATGTGTCCTCAGAAACATGACACGCCAACCCTCGCTTCTTAAAACCCGTCCGCTTAACCCGGAAGCCAGCCGTATCAATGAGTCGGAGGAAACACCGTTCAACTGACGACCGAGGTCAGCCTTCAGTCGCCCGGCCCGCCACAAGGAGTCGCTAGAGCGCGATGAGCCAAGTAAGCCCCCCCGGCCAAACCCTCTCCTAACCCGGACGACGCTGGGCCAATTGTGTGCCGCCCTATGGGACTCCCGATCACGGCCGATGGTGATACAGCCCGGGATCGAACCCAGGTCTGTAGTGACGCCTCTAGCACTGCAGTGCCTTAGACCGCTGCGCCACTCAGGAGGCCAACTTTATTATCCCACTAGGGGGAAATTCATTTGGACTTGTGCTTATAGACAGTTCATAAAACATAACACAAACTACACGGGGCGGCAGGTAGGTTAGTGGGTAAGAGCGTTGTGCCAGTAACCGAAAGGTCGCTGGTTCTAATCCCTTAGCCGACTAGGTGAAAAATCTGTCGATGTGCCCTTAAGCAAGGCACTTAACCCTAATTGCTCATGTAAGTCGCTCTGGATAAGAGTGTCTGCTAAATGACTAAAATGTATACACAAAGTAATTCATTCAAAGTGCTATAGCTACACATTTAAAGTGAAAGTGCAATATGCTGTATACTTGAGCGACCAACAGACTATCTATTATAAAGCCTAATAGCTGTTGGAATAAAAGAGTCCCCATATCTATCTGTTTAAATTTTATTTTAAGAAGTCTCTTTCCCCTTGTCCGGCTGCTGCCGTGACTATATCTTGAGTGAAGGGGATGTGTACTGTCCTGTAAAATGCTTTCAAGTTTTAGGAGGATGAGTTTTGTGTACAGGTTGGTGGCTGATTCTTGATATATACCAATTTTCCTTCCCGCCGTCTTAATCAAGCGCTAAAGCTAGACTTGGTCTTGCACTCACATGTTTCCGAACACGCATCAGACCAAAGGACAGCACACTCTGCAGGGCAGATTTATAGAAAATGTTTAAGATATGGTGGTCGACATTAAAATATTTCAGTTTGCATTAAAAAAACATTATCTTTTGCAATTCTTTATCTTTGCAAATGCACAGTCATTGAATTTCGATTCCCAGGTACTTATGTGGTATCGACTGATTTCCCCATTGATCTTCATAGGGGTTAGTGGAGTTTAGTTCCTTCTGAAATGAATTTCCATCTCTTTTGCTTTCTTAACGTTTATTTCACAAAATTTGCTGTTTTTCTGTCAAAATCTTGAAGAGAGCTTGGTCTGGGTGGAGGAAACCCACAAAAGCGGTGTCATATTTTTTTATTTTTTTTATTTCACCTTTATTTAACCAGGTAAGCCAGTTGAGAACAAGTTCGAATTTACAACTGCGATATGTGTCACGGTTTCGGCCGAGGCTGCCTCTCTTCCTTGCTCGGGCAGGCTTCGGCGTTCGTCGTCTCCGGAATACTAGCTGCCACCGTTGCATGTTTCTATGTTCGTTTGCTTTTGTCTGATTGTTGTTACACCTGTTATCGTTTAGTGTAATTAGTTTCCTATAAGTTCTCGTTGTGTTTGTCTAGTGTTGTGTGTTATTGTTTTACTGTCGTGCCGGTAGGCTGTTATTCTACTGTTTGCTCGGTTGAGCTATTTCTCCACATTGTTTGGAGTGTTTTGTCGCACCTGTTAGTGCGCCCGTGATTTTCGCCTACGTGCGGAGTTTTCGCCTCAGGGCATTTATTCGTGATTGTTTTTGTGTGCATCTACTAAAGTCTGTTGGACTAACGTTCTGCGTCCTGCGCCTGATTCCACCACCACACCCACCTACATCTACCTTGACAATATGCTTTTGCAGGTTTGACACATGTGATTTTACATCGCAGCAGAAAGTGGCCTTGGACAATATAGACAGCATACCAGCTGTTAATAATATACAGATCTCTGTGAATGACGTCAAGCAATACTTTCAACGTGTCAACCCATGAAAATCATATGGTCCAGACGGCGTCAGCAGCAAGGCACTTCAGGCATGCACAGACCAGCTCGCATTACCGTTCCAGAAGCTGTTCCAGCTGTCACTGAACAGTGGGATAATTCCAGACTTATGGAAGAAGTCACTGATTGACCCAATGCATAAAAACAATAGGCCAAAAGAAAATAACGATTTACGCCCTGTAGCCCTTTCATGTACCTATGAAATGTTTTGAAAAAATTATTCAAAAACTAATTCTCTGGTCTCTCATCCCAATTAGACTCAAATCAATTCACCTACCGTGCCTCCAGGGGTGTTGAAGATGCGTTACTGGTCATGCTGAACAATATCTACGAACATATAGAAAAGGCAAATAGCCCAGTGAAAATTATATTCATTGACTTCAGTAGCTTATTTAACACCATCCAACCCCACCTACTGGTGGATAAGCTGGTGAATTTGGGTGTCAAAACTCTACAGATCAAGTGGATTAATAGTTTCCTTGTGAACCGATACTGTACACAAACGAACCCACACAGTTTTTAACTATGAGAAACTGTTCAAATCATTTGTAAAAGCGAGGTCATTCGACGGTCATACAATGTCTCTTTGTTTTGTAGGCTATGATGGTTTGTAGCCCTTGCCAGGCTTTCCTACTGTCCTTGTCGTTGAAAAGGTTTTCTAATTTGTCTTTGTATGCTGCCTTGCACTCCTTAATTTTGCTTTTGAGTTACCGCTGAATATTTTTTCCATTCCTCTTTACTGCCACCTGATCTAAAATACAAATTTTTTCTGGTTGAGGAGCTATTTTAATTCCCGAGTTACCAACAGTTTATTATTGGGGAAGATGTTGACTTTCCTCACAGAAACGGATGTACTCAGAGACGGTATCCGCTGCCTCTTCCAGGTCATCGGCGCTGTCCATCAGGGCCGCCCAGTCAGTGGACTCAAAACAGTCCTGGAGGGCTTCAGTAGCATGGTTCAGTTTTTAATCTTCACTTTTTTAGCCTTCTCTCGCTGCTGACGCGCTTTGTAGACTGGGATGAGCTGAACCATGTTATGATCCAAACCCCCAAGATTGGGTAGTGCCTTGGAAAAATACGCACCTGGGATGTTACCATAACAGAGGTCCAGACAGGTTTCATTTTGGGTATGACATGTAACATATTGCTGATATGATGGTAAATGTTCAGATGAATTGCAAATGTTAGTCTCCCATGATTAGCTTTACTGCTTCAGGTGACTGTCTCAGCCTGGGATACAAGGTCATGAATCAAGTCGGCAGCTATTTGGGTGTCAGCGGAGGGAGCTATGTAAACAATAAATAAATCAGACCTGATTTATTTCCAGTGGCAGGTAGTTTGGCCATAGGTTAAGAGCAAGGAGTTCAATGTCTTTAGTAGAGACCTTGTGCTTAGTTGTAATATGGGCAGGATTGCAATATTTCTCGTTGATGAATGCACAAACTCCACCAACATTTCTCTTACCAGAGATTATGTTTCGGTCCATTCTAACAATTGTGTAGCCATGCAGCTCCACAACGGAGTCCGGATTTGGTTCCGTAAGCCAGGTCTCAGATAGACAGATCAAGCAGGATTGTTGGTTCTCTGAGAGGTATTGGGTACAAGCCCGTAGCTCATCAGTCTTATTGCTTATGCTTTGTACATTGCCATGCATAATAGATGGAGAGGTGTTCTGAAGGGCTGTTTTTTAATCCGATTCCGAATTCCTCCTCTACTGCCACGCTCTACTGCCTTTTCTTGGGAACATGTTGATTTTATTAATGGTGGTATTCCATTGCAGTGTAGACTTGCAGCAAATGGGCGGATATTAAGCAGGACATCTCTTGTGTGTGATATCCGCGGTTGCGGCTCGCTGTATCCATTGAGGGTTAGGTTGACAGCTTGTTTGCTGCGTTTCACAAAATAACGGATTAAAACTAACAGCCAAAGTACTGCTATTTACCTCATTATTAAGTATCTGATTTAATACCACTAAAAACTTGATTGGTTGAGGTAGATCGCAACTTTAAACAACAACAGCAACAAAAAAAAATTGCACAAATGACCGTGTCGCTGCAAGAACAGACGCCACTAGAGACTTACCCACCTTTGTTCTGAAGTTATCGGCGGTCTAAAAGAGACAAATAAACTATGTAATTCTATGTTTAGCGGAGATCTGTGTGTAAAGTGATGGAGGAGGGCAAAAAAGCATCTAATAACGCACTTAGCTGTTCTACGAGTGGTCTGAGGCCAGCGTTAGATTTAAAGCATTTTTAAGTGCAACGTTAACAATGCTCCTACAAAGTTTCTAACGATGAACTTAGCCTTAAAATGCTTTTGGGAAACTGGGCCCTGGTGAGACAGACTGAATGACATTCAACTCTGGTGCATCAAGTCCCAGAAGACCAAGAACCCTCATGCTACTCCACACATTTTCTGGTCCAATTTTCAAATTTTTGGAAAGAATGTATGGGCGGTATTAGAAGTCTCACAGGTCCACTGATTAAAACTCCAGAATATTTCATTTAACCCATAAGAGTCTAAGCCGAGAGGAGGTCAAAACTATTTTGAATTTTAAGACCCCTTGTAATGTAGATGCAGGTAGTCAGGAAGCAGGTGCAGATGGTGAGTTTAATAATAACGAACATGGCGTGTTACAAAAAGAGACTCGTCTGGACATAAAAAATGAACCAATACTGCCTGAAGAGTGATGCTGGCGAGTGTTAGATAAAGGGGAAGTAATCAGGGTAGTGATGAATTCCAGGTGTGCGTCATGATGAGGCGCAGGTGTGCGTAATGAGGGTTGCCAGGTGTGTGTCATGATGGGTTGCCAGGACCGGTGGTTAGTAAACCGGCGCTCGAGCGGGAGTAGACGTGACACCCCTTGAAGTATAAAAAAGTATTTGATGAAAAATGATTTTGCGCCTTACTGCTATTAGCCCATACAAACACATTGAACAACAGATTCACTCTCCGGGTGGTAAGCGCTAGACATCTGATGGGACACTGACAAGGACTTCAACACACTTCCAAACAATCTCGATGTAAAATTCGTGCCTTGATCCGTCTATATGATTTTTGAAAATCCAAAAGGTAGAGAAATACTTAATCAGCACCTTCACGATTGCCTTAATAGTGATTTTTCGCATAAGAATCGCCTCTGGGTACCTTGTAGCAGTGCACATTATCGTTAACAAGAATTGATTACCCGACTTAGTCCTGGGTAATGGACCAACACAATCGATTATTACTTTCTCAAATGGCTCTCCCATGACCAGAATTGGGCAGAGAGGAGCCGGGGAAATGACCTGGTTAGGCTTCCCCACCACTTGGCATGTAGTACAGGTACGGCAATAACGAGCCACATCATGTTTCATTCCCGGCCAGAAGAAATGACGGAGGATTCGATCGTAGGTTTTAGTCACCCCTAGATGACCAGACCAGGGAATATCATGAGCTAGGGACAACACCTTCGTCTGAAACGTGGCAGGAACTACAATCTGGAAAACGGAACTCCAATCATTTTCTAGGTCAGCACGGGGAGTCCATTTTCTCATCAAAAGACGTCACACCTTTCCTTTTTGCCTCACTCAAAGGTAACATGGAGGAAAAACATTTGGCCAAGCCCACAGCCTCTTTCTGGCCAGCTATTAGCTTCTCCCGAGTAACTGTAACCTTAAACAGTCCACCGAGGAAGCCATTGTCTTGTCTTTATTACCATCGTCATAATCAGAACTCACAGGGAACACAGGAGTAGAACACTGGATATCTTCCCCATTCAACATAGGTGCAAGCACAGAGTCAGCTAAGTCTACCATGGTACCTAAGCGACGCGACTGCGCACGCGTAATGGCACACGCTGGAAATGCTTCAGGAAACATAGTGGCCAAAACATCAGCACTTGACTGAGCATCAGGCTTGTCTAGTACTTCTAACACAGGCACAAATTTGCCTCCTGCTAGATCGTTACCCATGATTAGAGCAACCCCATTTACGGGAAGCTCGGACTGCACACCAATTCTGAAACATCCACTCACTAGATCAGAAGACAAATGGACAGTATGTAACGGAACAGGCACACAACCCATTTCGATCCCCCTTAATAATACACTAGAGCCACAATAAGACCCCTCTGACCAGGGCAGAACACTCGAGAGAATTACAGACTGAGCCACACCAGTATCTCTCAATATCAAAACTGGCTTTTGTTCTCCAGAATCACCTGTCAGTGAAACAAAGCCTTTAAATATGAATGGGTTGTATGTTGGATCGGGACAACTTAGTACAACCCCAGGACTCTCCTTTACAGAGCTCTTAGTGGTTATCTTAATCAAACCCTTACTTTTATGGTGTTTAGGGGTTGAAGGTGTTGAAGTTGTTGACTTGCGTTTTAAAGACATACATTTCGAAATTACGTGTCCGACTTTATGACAGTAAAAACACGCGCGTTCCTCCTTTGGAGTCAGCCGTGTACTTCTTGAGTAACGGTGGGAATTGTAGACAGGAGAGGATACAACCGGTCTATTCTCACTACGGTGTGTAGGAAACACAGTTTTATGTGTTAACACAAATTAATCTGCAAGCACCGCGGCTTCAGATAACTTTAACACTTTCTGTTCATTAATGTATGCAACAAACCGCTCTGGGAGGCTGTTTTTAAATTCTTCCAGTAACATTAATTCATGAGGACCTTCAAAGTCATTGATTTTACTTGCTGAGCACCATTTGTCAAAGAGAGACTCCTTCTCTCTAGCGAATTCAACAAACGTTTTTAGAGAGGATTTGGAGTGCTTTCTAAACTTTTGTCTATAAGCCTCCGGCACAAGCTCATACCCACGGAGCACAGTAGCCTTAACTATGTCGTAATTAAGACTATCAGCGAGAGAGAGAGTACCCATCACATCCTGCACTTTACCTGACAATTTACACTGAAGTAACAGCGGCCACACATCCCTAGGCCAATTCAAAGCCACTGCTATGTGTTCGAATGCACAAAAGTAAGAGTCAACCTCAGACTCACGGAATTGTGGAACTAAAGCAATATGCCGGCTAATGTCAAAGGTAGAGGCAGATCCTGGGGTGGAAAACACACTAGTGGGAACGGCAGGGACAGCGGCCAGCCTCGCCGTCTCTGCCTCTAATTCCAATTTGCGCATTTCAAAGTCCATCTGCCTTATCTTAATGTCCCTTTCTCCTTCCAACTCCAGTCGGCGCATCTCCAACTTGAGATGTAGCTCATCCTTTCGGATTTGTGCTCTCTCTTCTGCCTCCAGCTGCAAGTGTACTGCCGTAGGCATAGGAGAGAGAGGGTCAAATCGAGGCAAGGTGGTCGGGGCCTTATACTCGACCTCATCGTCGGGCCTATACGGGGTACCCGGAGCATCCACCACCTCTCCCACCGCAGGCCGAGGCAAAACCAACACCTGCTGTTCAATCAGCGCCGCTAACACCAATGCCCTTCCTCCGCCTTAACAAAACCCCTTGGCACGGAGATATCAA